ATTTTTGCTGCATCGTTTCATTGTCATCGTTATTGCAGTTATACGTTTTTCGTAAATCTTCCATGAGTTGGTATTTCTCTTGCCTTATCATTTCTATTTCCGCTTTCAGAGATGATATTTCGCTGAAATCATGAAATATTATTGCATTTTCTAACAAAGCATGATAACGTATATTCAATTCCTCATATTTCTCTTTCAGTTCATTATGCACAGTTATGCTCACAGAATTGCATAAATTACTCTGCAAGAGCGAAATTTCTGACAGCAAAGTTTTATTGTATTTGTTTGCATCGGTAAGAGCTTTGTTAAAATCATTCTCTTTTTTAATTATATCTTTTTGATATTCATATAATCTGCCAGTTTCCTTATTAAGCAATCGTCGAAGACTCGCATTTTTCCTGTTCATAATTATTATTTCATTAGTGGCATCTGCATATTCTCTCGTTTTTATTGCAAATTCTTTACGAACTTCATCGTCTCCGTTTTCTATTATTTGCCAATTTTTCTTATAAACTTCTAATTGATTTTTTAAACCATCTATTTCATCTTTCAGTTCATTACTCTCTTGAATCAACAAGTCTTTTTGCTTTTCCCATTCCTCTGCCTCATTTTTATATGCTGTTTGCAAAGCTTTCATTTCCGTAAGGCATGTCATTATCGCTTCATCTTCGCTATGTTTCTCGGACAACTTTTCCAAATCTATATTTTTAATCGCTGCTAAATCTTGTAATATAATATTCTTCTTTTGCAATTCTTTTCTATAAATTATGCATTTGAGTATGATTTATTAATTATAATAAAGATTATAGCAAATAATTAATTGCTTAATTGTATTAACAAATTTTATAAAATACCTCAGTAACCTAAGCTGTGACCTTAATTCAGTATTACTGCCTTGGACAACATTAAGATGTTCCTGTAATCTCATAGCTGGATGGTACCAACCAGCTAAATGTCTAACATCCAAAGCTTCTAATAATCGTTCCAATGTACTGGATTGTATTTCCACTTCACTCTTACCTAGAATACACAAAAATGTCATTTGCTTATTTTTAAGCAATTATTAATATAATAAAATTACAAAAGAATATAGCAATGTTCATTATTTGCCAAAACATGAATAGAGAATGCGAGAAATTAAGCACATTTAATTTTAGAATTTTATTAATATTTTTTATATTAAAGACAGAAAAGGAAAAAGAGAAATAAAAGAAAATCTAGGGTGTCATAGAAATGGAAATGTGTGCAATACTAAAGTACCATTAAAGTTAGTGAAAACCATTCACCATCTTGATTGCGTATACTGTCCATAATCTCATGCATGCCTTTTCTAAGTGCCTCATTTTCTTCTATAATTATCTGAATATTTTGATTAACTTCGAAGATATCAGTTTTAGAAGATACTTGCATATTTTCTGATTCCATCAATTTAGTTGAATGCAAAAATTGATTACTAAAATCACCTAAGTTGTCTGAAATGTCTAGTGTTTTCTCAGACTTGCTTAATTTATACTTCAACATCCTTACCTACAAAAAAAAAATTTGTAATAAATATTCTCTTAATATGTATTGCAAATCATATATCTTAAATAAGAAAGATATGATTCTATGTATTATATTATATATGTATATATATGTATGTATGTGTGCGCGTGCACATGCATGTGTACATTATACGTGTATATATATATTTTATAAATTAGTTTTTCAATAAATTATCTTACATCTGATTTTAATTCTAAATTTTCTTCTATGAGGCTTTTATTTTGTTGAATAAGTTGTTCCATTTTTCTCGATTCCTCTTTACGTTTTGCTATAACACTCTTAATCGATATTGATTCATCCTCTGGAATTCCTAACTTTTCTCTATGATATGAAAAGATAATGTTATATTTACTTTCTCATTTCACACACACTATAAAAAATATTTAGAAAATTTTACCTAAGAGTTAAGATCTCCATTTCTTGATATGAATTTAACATCTCCAATTTATTAACAACATTGACTAAGTCTTCAATATGTTCATTCTTGTGATTCATTTTGATTTTTAATTCTTTAATTTCGTTCAATGCTTTAGCTAAAGTTTGATTTCCATCTTCATAATTTTTTAAGGTGGACAATACTTCACACAACTATATACAAAAATATTTAAAAAAATATTTAGAAAAAAGAAATTTAGATTATTTTTAGTATATAACTCAATAAATAAATACAAAATATTCTAGAATTATTGCCACTCTTTTCATTTGCAGCTTTATTAATATATAAAGCTGTAATTTATAATTAAGTTTTCCTTAACATAAAGACAAAAATATTAATGCTTTGAAACTATGAAAAATTGATAATTAAAAACATTTCTATTCATTAAGTTTCCAAAGAGAATGCGGATTTATAACTACATTTATTAAGTAATGTACGAAAAATCCGATGTAAAAACAAAAGTAAAAACGAAATATTTAATAAAATTTTCATATTTTTATTTTAATGAAAAATTAACTCTATAAAATTGGTAAGATTTGTAATATTAAAATTACCAAGTGGCAATAGCTCTACAGTATATACTTTATATAGAGTTTATTATAAACCAGATATGAAAATATGGATGTCTAACTTTACTACTCTGTGATTTGGCATCATCCTGTGCTTGGGATAATGCATTTTCCAAATTAGAAATCTTTTCATTTGCAATTTGTATTTTTTTCAATAAATTTTTTTGCTCTTTCCGTTTGTCACTTTTTACAGACCTATGAAATACATCAGCTTGAAAACAAACAACTAAACATAACAACTAAAAATGATGATCTGGATAAAATTACAAATATATATATATATATATATATATATATATTTCGTCAGTTTTTAATAAAACGTAAATTTTTTATAAAACTAGTCACTTTTCGATAATAACTCACTTATAAAACTCCGAAGCATCATATATATATATATATATAGAAAATGTTACTTACTCCTGGGTTGCCTGTGCTTTTAATTTTTCTATAAGTGCAGCACTCTCATTTATTTCAACGATTGCATCAGAGAGTTTAGTTTGCAATTCGACTATAATAGCATCCCGACGAGCTATTTCATCATTCAGATGAATAATCTGTGATTTATTTTCTTCTTTTGCTGATGTAACAGATTGCATTAAAGACTGTGATACACTTTTTTTTAAATGTGCAATTTCCATATCTTTTTCATCCAATATACCCTTATAACATAAATAATGCAAATTTATATAAATACATTCTTTTATTTTCTAATGTAAATATTTTATTGAATTTATATAATACCTTCCATTCAGATATTCTAGTGTCAATAGCTACTCCAAATTCATCTAACATTTTGTCTCTGTCTATTTGCTGTGCTGTTATTTCTTCTATTTGAATAACCAAAGCTTCATTTTCTTGCTCTAATTTCTGAATCTTATCTGTAATAGCATAGCACTTATGTTTATTCATAAAAAGCATACTATATGATACAATAATATATATAATACAAAATATATATTATTCAGGTAAGCACCTTTATATTCTGTAACTTTTATTTGAGTTGAATGAAGTTCTTGTGTCATCTCATTCATTTTCTCTGTTGCATCCTCCATTTCATCTTTCAATGTCGTTAATCGTCTTTTAAGAATTTCATTCTCCTTGTCCAAACCCTAGAAAATGAGAAGTAGTAATAAGGAAACTTTAGTTTTTTATTATATAAGAAAACTCTAGTTTTTTACTATGTTACCTCCAATTCAACCATAAGTGTCTTAACTTTTTCATTTGTATCTGTATATCTGGCTTGTGTATCTGGACAAGCATGTTCTCTTGCATCCTTTATACAAAATAAAATTATTGATAATAAAATACAATATTTTATTAATATGCTCTACAAATAATAATAAAAAAACTTACTTTAGTCAAACCATCACTTTCTTGTTTTATTGCAGATATATCATGATCTATCAAAAAAATTATATAAATATGTATAGAATAAAAATTGTACAAATTATCAAAGTAACTTGTCTTAAAATCTTTATAAATTTTATTTCAAAAATGATCCCAAGAGTCAAAATGTATAAACATACACAAATTTTGACAATACGCTACCTATGGTCTTTTGTTTGGCCTCTGGACGTAAAGAAGCTATTGTTTCTTTCAATTCACCGCATTCAAGAAGTAAGGCCTCGACCTAACATCAATAAATTTATTTTACACATACAATATATATTATATAGCAGAAAAAGAAAGCTTACTATATAAATTTTTTCCTTTTAATAAAAAAAAAAATAAGAAAAAATATTAAATATACATAATAACGAATAAATTCTTTACTTGATTATCTCTATAAGTCAACATTTCCTGCGATAATCTCATGAGTGTTCGCAGATTATATACATCGGTAATCTCGTTTACATCACATCGAACCACTTCTGGAAAGAGATCCTCGATTTCTTCGTCTGTTAAAGACGAAACATTTATAGATAATATTCTGTCCCAATCGGTGCGAACCATTATTCGCGATAATAATTAAACCGAGAGAGAAAAAAAGTAAGTCATTTAATCTTTATTTGCTATGGCTGTATTATTACTCCAGAACCCAGATACTCTTTTTGACATTTTTACAACAGTATACAAACATCACCATGTAGCTTAGACTAATATTTCATGTAGAGCTGCCGTCAACGGCAAGTACAAGCAAATGTCAAGTGGACAACATATGGGCGAATAACACCGAAGACCAATGACAGAACGCACCAATAGTCTTCACAGGCCGATATCATCAACCAATCAAACTCGAACGAAGGTGCTCAATTTGCCAAGCAGCGTAAATTTGATTGGTTGATACTATCGGCTTCCGAAGACTATTGCAGAAACATTAAGTGTCGGTCTACAATAGTGATTTAAGCTCTAAGCCTTAAGAAATTGACTAATCACAGTCGAGTATTCTAAACGCTACGCATCTTCATGCAAACCTGCTTTGATTGGAATTTTTCATCATTTTCTTCCCGGCACCATCCGGCATCCGGCAATCCGGCATCCGGCCGCCAGTCGGATCTCTTCCCCCAGTCCCCCAATTCCCGTTTGATTAGATGTGATAGTGATAGTTTGATAGTGTGATTAGGTACTGCCGGACAGTTGATTGTAACACAGCGTGAATCTCAAGTCAGATTAGGATTCACGATATCTAAAAGATATCCATGAAATAAAAGAGGAAAAACTGTGTGCTCGTGTGTGAATTTGATTAGAGAAAGTTAGTTGAAATTTTATCTAAATACAATATTATTCCTTTCGTGATGTCATATTATCGTGAATAGTGAACAACGCACAAACAAGTTTTTCGTAAACTGATGTTATCTCTCATTTTAGATCCTTTCTTTCTTGGATTAATTTGCGGCCTGTAGAATGGAAACGGTTACTAGCAACGAAACGGTTATCGCTTCTGAGGTTAGTATATTTATCCTTTCTCACACGTAGAACTCTTAAAAAATGCGATGCTAATATAGTTAAAATTATCTCTTTCCGTTTAACCGATAAAAAAAAAGTTATTTAATATGTACATATATATTCTCTCTTTCTCTCTCTTAAGTAGACCTTGGTAAAAGGTAAATATGATTTGAAAGTCATTTCATGTTTAACCTTATTTGTGAGAGAAAGTTTTTATGAATATTTATGAAAGGTGAAATATCAAAGTTTAAATTACATATATAATCTTGAAAATAAAAATTAAGTTTTACTAGAATCGTTTATACATAAAAATTCAATTGTTTTGTTATTGTTGTTTAGTCAATTATAAATGTTTATTTAACAATTTATATAATTTATGTATTAATGTAGAAACTTATTTTTTATGTCATCATCTTACATACATACACACACACATACCCAAGAATATATTTATACTTCTACATATATAAGAGAAAACTCTATTTTATATTTATTGATTATTAATGATTATTTAAAAAATAAAAAGAGTTAAAATAATATTAATATATTATCTATAAATAAAATTAATGAGTAAATTTTTTTCTCTTATTGGAACAGGACAAAATTAGAAAATCTTTACACGAATTGCAGCCATCAGCCACTGATAAAGAAACTTTAGTTGGTGCTGATAGAATGATCAAATCTACTCAAAAATCAAAAAAAGCAAAATCAAAGAGGTAAATTACCTTGAAAAAGTAAATTATGAAAATATTGTAATAAGGTTGATATAAACCCTTATATGTTGTATGTTTTAGGAATGTATCTCAAACAACAAAGGATAGTTCTAAACACAAAGATGTGAAAACCAAAGACAAGGCTGTACAAACTGTACGAGAGGAGAAGGTACAAATAGAGCCTGAAGATTTAACATCCACAGGTACATTTAAAAAATTGCATTTTTTCTGTATTCTTTTGTCTTTCCTGAGTAGAGGAAAAATATTGGGGTCCTACTGGGATTTGATCCTGGGATCTCTGTTTTAACTAGCAACCATTCTATCATTAAGCTACCATGCCATTGTATTCTTGTTGCTCTCTTATACTTTGTACTTTTGAAATCAAAATACATATAAAAAAATTTTAATTTTCTCTAAAATATTTTTATCAGATGTAGCTGGCCCGAGTGAAAATTATTGGCAAATCCTAAGTGAAAGGCGACGAATAGCACTTAAAGATGCTTTAGAGAAAAATGAAGAACTCGTAGAATATATTGAAAAGTTAGAAGAAGAAAATCGTGTCTATAAAGAAATGTTAAATGAGACAAGAGCACTTGTTGTTGTGCTGCAGGTAATAGTCTTTGTATCGTAAATGGATATTGTGTGTATTTACTCTTGACATAATTACTAGTCTATAACTATACTATTTTATTGCAGGAGATGATTGGAGATGACAGAAGTGGCATAAATAATTCATTAGAAGATAGTACTCTTTAACATTAGATATTTATTTTTTTAATAAGAAAATAAAAAAAGAACAATATAAAAAAATCGGTAAGTCTCCATGTAAAATTTTTGCAAATATATGTTTTCAATATACGTTTCAAATATACGTTTTTCATAAAATTTCAATTTTTTATTTCAATAGGTTATTGCATATGTGAATATGTAAGATCCTTCCTTTGTAAGATATATATATATATATATAACACTTTTAAATATTTCTAGTATTATTTAATAATAGAAACTGTTAAAATTTTTTTACATTGTTCTTTTCTCATGACTTTATTGCTAATGAAATTAATATCATTTAGCATGTATATTGCATCATAGTAAAAAAATCATAAAAAAATACTATTATTATTTCTCAAACTTGTATTATACACATGACTTGCTTAGAATACACAGTCATGAGCATTTACTTAAACTCATAAAAATTATATAGAGATTTATAATTTGTGTACAAAATAATAAAAAGATGTAAAAGTCTAGATTAAAATTGTTATTTATGTAAATACATATATTTTTCTTGAGACAACAAACGCGTCGAAATATCAGGTACAAATTAATATTAGTGTAAATTCAAATATAAAAAATAAAATAAATATTCTATCCTCAAAGTAAATAAAAAAGAATACGTATATAACATCTGTTGTAAAAATATTACTTTTGATCAATTATTTTGTCTTGTTATATGACACATAACATCAAATTGACATTCTTCGTCGCGATCTGGATATGCCGCTTTCATAATAGATATCGGACATGGCATATCATTTGGACAGCCTGACAAATACACCGGTCGTTCCTGAAGCATGAATAGAATACTAGGACCTTGAGATGCGCAACTAGAAAGAATGCAACGAAAAAATTATATCTATGAGAAAATATATAACATAATTTTGTATAATCTTAAAGTAAAAACATACTCGTATAAAATAAATGCTATGTTAGATGCAAATACATCAATAATACTGCTTCTCCAAGCTCTGTTATCTTCTTGGTGCAGTGTGAAAGAATCGTGCATCAAAGGATGTAGGTCTTTGGCTACTCCAAGTAAAGCCAATAATTTCAGAATTGTTCCAGAATGTGTAAAATAAGCTGTTGTTGTTGCCTCTTCTGTAGATCTGTAAAATAAATTATATTCTTCTAATATATAATTTCAATACAATTAAATTTAATTGCAAAATTAAAATTATACAATTTGCCATATTTATTGACAAAAGGCTTTTTTTTCTATAAGATTTTTTTTAGTTCTATGAACAAAAGGCCTCAACAAAATTAAATACAAATGCTTTTTGTGTAATATATAAAATAAAATATAATATATATAATATTCACAAGATCTTAAATTGAATTTATTATTATAATGGATATAGATTTGCATACCCAAAAAAATTAAACATATCTTTTAAGGCAGGACATGCTTGCTCATAAGTTAATGGATAACCATATCCATCAATCCAATAGAATTCTAAATCTTCTGCATATTCAAAGATCTGCATATTCAAAAATAAAACAAATTTATAATTTGATGTGTGAGTAAATTCCTTCATTTGGTAATTTATGTATATACACACATAATTATACTTTAATCTAAGATCTTACTGTGAAATCATTCAATGAAAATATTTTACACCAAGGAGATACCATACTCTGATTCCAAGCAGTTTCAAAGGCACACATAGTATGCATTAAATGTGCGGTTTCTGGAAACATAAATAATAGTCACAATCATAATACAGTGAGTAGTGAAATCTTGATAGTATAATATTGAATAATATTTATATGCATATGTTTAATAATAGCGCTAACCATAATCGATATTGTAACCAATACGCTCTTTAATATTATTTAACATATCTTTAACAATTTTGCTATCCAAAAATTTCGTTTTTTCTAATCTTGCATTTGAATTCTTATCAACTTCTTGGCGCCAACGAGGACAAGCCTTGTAAAACTAAAAAAATATATATCAAAATAATCATCTAGAGAGAGAAAAATAGGAGAGTGACAAATCATCTGAAAATTTAAAAATAATAGTAAATAAAATTACTCTTATAACTGGATCTCGATATATCGGTGCTGGATACCAAATATTTTTACTATTATGCCAACCAAATAAACCAACAGCAAAGTGCTTCGCGCTCTCCTCTGTACGTTGAGTGGAAGTATATCTGAACTAAAATTCATAGTTGATGATCAAAGAATACAAACATATATATAAAATGATCAAATATTTTGCTATACATACTTTATAGGTCTGATTGTTGTAAGTTTCCGGCATCAGAGATGGAAATCTTGCCTGATATCTTTCTCCAAGATCAATCATTTCATTCTCTCCTTCTGCTGTCAATTTCATCATGTTCCTTTGAGTAAGCGACAGTTTCCATTTCTTAAACAAAGCTGCATCATCAGATGACAGACTTGTTATATTGTTTTCATAATTTTCTAATATTATACGTTGCAGTTGTGGTAACTCATTTATCATACGAGGTATATATTTCTTGCCTGGGTAACGAGTCCCATGACGCAGAATTAACCAAATCTTTTTTTCAACACAATCTATAAATACCAATAAACACATATATTAGTAGAACTTATGAATACACAAGTTCAACCATATTAAATATATAAAAAGTAACTGGCAATATTATAGAATACCTGCATATTTCAATTGTGATTCATCATAATTAGCTACACATCTGTAAGGAGTTTTTGAACCTAGTTTACATTCATAAGTATCATTATGCTTGGAATAATTAGAAGCGTAAGAAACATTTATAGTCATTATATAAAAGATAATAATTTCAATAAACAGTTTCCAAAGCATTTCGTGTATTAATCTTGTAACTTTTCTATAATCGAAAAGATATAGGAATATATTAGCTTCTCGCGCAAATGCATTTCGCGTATATATACATAATTTGTTTCCCATATCAGAGAGAAGCCTGAGAGGGGTCATGCCGTTTTTCATAAGACTTTTTTCTAGCTAGTACAGTAGCGTCAACTAGATCCATTTTAGAGCCGGCGGAACTACATGACCAGATTCACTTTTCGGTGCTACGGTAAAAAAATCGGTTGATGCATGTATATATCATATATATATATATATATATATATGCGACATAAAACAAATTTTCTTAAATTAATTTTCTTAATAATTTTTTCCTAATTTTTAAATATATAATGTGTAGAAGATATTTACAATAATAAAATTTACAATAAATTGCTTTTACTTTTTTCTTATTTTTGAAACAAAATTATCAAGCATTTTAAGCAATATATCAAATTATTATTTTTTAAATTTATATAGCTTTTTATAATTAATTATTAATTTATTACTTGGATTTTAGAAATATTTGGATTATTAGATTAATCAATGAATACTTCGAGTAAGCGTTTGATTGTAATATTATATTATTTAAGTAATTTTTTAATTTATAAATTCAATTGGATGCACTAGTGCGCACTGATGCATATTAAAAGCTATTATATAAATATATGTCCTATTATCCACGGTTTCCGAGATAGAGCGACTTGAATAATGTACAGTTGCAAAATTACTGACAAGGAAGAAATACTACGTACTATTTCTAATATTTATTGTTCAAGTGATACATTTTTTACAGATTATAATAAATTTTCAAAAATTCCACCGTTAACATCAATGCATTTTTCAACTGTTGTGTGAACATGGCGTGTTGCTCGTCTGAGTACATCGTGACGTTCTTTTATGCGGGCACTAGCATCCATTATTTGAGCGAGCAGGTCGTCTCGTGTATTCATATTTTCTTCTGTACACTTCACTGTACAGGTTGACGGATGAAGGTTGAAGTGTACAGAATAAAAGTGAATACACGAGACGTACATTTAAGTCGCTCTATCTCGGAAACCGTGGGGAATAGGACATATATTCATATGAACATTTTTGCTTAAAATGAAGCAATTTATTAGTAAATATCTTCTATACGTTATATTTAAAAATTAGGGAAAAAAATTATTAAGAAAATTATAATTTCATTTTACATGCGCATATACATAAAAATACTTCAATTATAATTTATTATCGCTGTAGTATATAGTAGAATGACAAAACATCATAGCGCAGCTAATAAAACATTAATAAATCCATAATAACATTCAAGTCGCTCTATCTCGGAAACCGTGGGGAATAGGACATATATTCATATGAACATTTTTGCTTAAAATAACCGATACGATCACCTTCCAGAATATTGACCTTTCCTCCTGGAACACCCTGTATATACGTCATAGTACGCAAAATATTTTCAGCTACGAATTATCAATAACATGGTATTCGGCCTTGACGGCGTAAACAAACAGCGCGCTATTGTTTACGTATTACGACTTACGGCTTTATCATTTGCACGACGACACTCGAACAGTAATGTAGTAGTGCGAGACGCTCGTCAAATTCTTTTTCTAAAGTGACGGTTAGAACTATAGGAAAATATAATTAATTATATTTATATAAATTTGTTTATAATAGCTTTTAATGTGCATCGGTGCGCACTAGTGCATCCAACTTGATATAATTAATAATTAATTCTCTGTCTTTGTTTTACTCTCTAGATAACAATTATTTAAAAATACTTAAAATTAAATATATTTTGTCCGATGTTTTTTCGTTCGACTTTTCGATGATCTAAATACCATTCAGATTGAGAACGCGCAATAAAATAGTCTAATCGCAGATCCGAATAATTAACATAACGATAAGCTCCGTGATATATCAATCGTTTATTAAATAATTGATAATTTAAAATATCTGTATAATATAATATTCCGCTTGTATATACGTCATAGTATGGAAAATATTTTGGCAGCAAATTATCAATAACATAGTATTCGGCCTTGGCGGTGTAAACATTAGCGCGCTATTGTTAATGTGTTACGACTTATGGCTTTATCATTCGCGCGGCGACACTCGAGCACTGAAGTAGTGGTGCGAAACGCTTCGTATATTGTCGAATTCTTCCTCTAAACGCGATCGCGACTAATATTGAAGCATAATTCGCTATGATTATTACAAAATTAAATTTTGATAAACGACACGAAACTGTATCGCGATGATAAATCATTTTTTTTGAAGCGCTGTGCATACGATTGTTCCGCGATTGGGAAAGCCGTGCAAAGTGTCCCGCGATCATCACGTATTCAATTAATCATAATTAACTGTGTTTTCGCGAGTAAGTGTAAGTGCTACGTGGATACAGCAAAGGAACGAAATAGGAGAAAAGAACTTCGGAAAAGCATCAGACAACGGATGAAGCGACGATATGCGGTAAGTAATTTATATTTATATTTATCATTTATATTATATTATTTTTAGAATACATTACTCGTTCTTCTTTCATTTTCATGATAATTAATATTTAACTAATATTTCTATATAAATATTTTAATATTTTATAAAATA